TTACATACAGTGTAACTCTTTAGCTACATCATGCTCATTCTATAATAGATTACACAGATCAAGCTATTGTACTCCAAAAAGCTCAGAAAATTTCATGTTTTTACTGGGCTTGTATGTTTCATGACTTCATCAAAAGTCGAGATCTCCACATTTATTTTTCAGAGTTTAAACAGCAGATCAGAAGAATATAAATACATTTTGTAGTCAAAAGTTTCTTCTACTTGTATCATGCCTACCTTCTTCGAAACTCTAGAGTAAGAATGAAAATTAACAAAACTTTGAACAAGTGGAAAGATCGGTGAAGAAGTTTGCTAGTTACTAAGAAGTTTTTGGAAGAACGTGACTCGAGAATGTGACCATCAGAAAGGGAAGAAAAAGCTGAATCTATTTATGCATTTTGAACATTCAGGCCTTTGATAGACGAGATTCTGTGTTCAATGGCAAAAATCGAAAAACTCTCGTAGCAACCTAATATAAAGTTGCCGTTCTCACACTGGTAAGTGCACTGCAAAAAAGTAGAACCGTGAATTCTCAGTTTCCTCACAAGGGCTAGTTTTCGACAATTTTCGATCTGCTCTCCTTATTGAAGCTTGTTGCCAGGTTCGATATACTCGAAAATCAGCCTTCTAGAGGTTTGAAAACTTAAGGTTGTACTTCTGAAAGCTTGTAGATACAGCTACGTGTGGGAACAGCTCAGTATTGCATGGTAGGAGTACAAAAAAAATTCATTTTCTTGTTTTTAGCGCTAACGAAAAAATACAGCAACTTTTCATATGGAAGGCTGATGTGCAATGCGTATGCTAAGCGAGAAAAGAAGCAGTTGGATTTCTTGACACGATTTTCTTGATTTTCTAGACATTTGGAACTTTCTTATTTTTGGTCCGAACTTCTCATGGATCAAAGTTGGTGCACATGTTCAAATACCAGGCTGTTTTTGACTGATTACTGCAAGTGCACATATTTCTTATTTCTAACTAGTAAAGAAGGGTAAAATTCGATACAGCAAAGCAAGCTTCGTTAAATGGATTGTAAGCGTTTGCACCAGCTCCAATGCATCACGAGTTACAAGCCGAAACCCAAGAATTTTTTGATGCCAGAAAAATTGAAAAGATTCATACCTTCGTCCAGAAAATTCTTGTCGGATCTTCCACTCTTGCGCGAATCGCTGCACAGTAGATATTCGACATTCACTTATGCCGCACTACATTTCTTCGCCCTAAAAGCCCAGAAGGAAAATTTTCCTTCAGAAGCACAACCGCAAATACCAGTTTTCTGACAATTTTCAGTTTTCGAAAAATTGATGACGATTGTATCAATGCAAAAAAAGCTAAATTTGACATTTTCCGAATTGCAATAAGCCGAAATCAGCTTCTAATCTGTAGAGGCTTGTAGTATACATTAGCTATTGTAAAAAACAGCACAGCTCGCCTTGGCAAAGCGAATACGGCTGAAACGAGGCAGCTGGTGCGAACGCTTACAGGTCATCTTATAGAGCTTTTTTTTTGCCCTATCGGACGGTGCTTTAAATCTAGAATCAGGAAAAATACGGATTATCGCAAGAAAGCTGAAAAGGTCCTGGGACGCCTAAAAGGTAGGACATACTTCACGCGATTTCACCGCCTCGCCATTCTCTCAGCAAGATAACTGTTACCAGTTCACTGCATGCCGTACATCTTGCATTTCGGTTGTGTTAGTTTTCCGACACAACTAACCGAGACTAACTATCACAAACGAAAGAGATGCTCAAAATGCAATGAAGTGGTAACAGCTGTCTTGTTGGGGAGATCGCAAGGCGATGATTTCACGTGAAATGTGTTCGGCCCTTAGCACAATCTTATTGTACACTTTTCCCTATCGAATGATACCCCAAATCATGTTGCGGTATGATTCAATTTTGGCAAGATTTATACATCCGCTTGACATGCACTGCTTGATTGCTACCTCTTTTCTAGCAGGCTTTATTAATTATAGAGTACAGTTCTGTAGAGCTGGCTCCAACCCAAGTCTACAGTATAGAAAGAATCATCAATCACTTTTTATTACTGTAAGACTACGGTACGAAGTTTTACCATGCCCCATTGTGATAGCTGGAGTTTCAAAATTCTACGATTTGTTAAAAATCCTGAAAAGTTGTGTAGCAAGGATTAAGCACTCTGATTTTACTACTTAACTCAAGTCTGTAAAGCTTTTCAAGTGATGTAAACATCAACATCAGTGAACATCTATTATGCTATATCTGTGGCCGTGTTCATCAACGAACCCAGTGAGTTCCGGAACCCACTGGGATAGTGCTTTTGATGAATATCGATTCTACTCAAGGGTAGAATCGATATTCATCAAAAGCACTTACCCAATGGGTTCCGGAACTCACTGGGTTCGTTGATGAATACGGCCACTGGAGTAATTTATAAACGAACCATTATGCCAAAGTATGAGTAGCTTAGTGTAAAGCTTTTCAAGCTTTTTGGCTTCTCTCTTAAAGCGAAACTGGCCCTTAATGGTTCAAACTCCTCTAAAACGTTTGTACAGTAACCCTACAGTAACAAAGATCGGTGGTTAGCTCCAGTTGTAAATTTGAGTTGAATCTATCTGCAGAATGCTTCCTAAGCGTCAGCAGTGACCGTATTCATCAACGAACCCAGTGGGTTCTTTTTGATGAATATGGAAGGCTACGTGGAAGAAGAAAGATTAGTGTGAACACAGTGTGCATACTTATATACGAGATCAAAGAAAGCAGCAGCAATGCAGACACTAAATAAGTGCAATTTTGAGCCGTTTTTGTACAAAGAAGACATAACTTGAGGTGTAAGTTCCGCATGACATTGCCGGAAAATTCCCCCTTCCCCCCCCCCCCTACCGTATGCAATGTTCTCCATGTTCCCTCCTGACTTAACACATTGCAAGCGTGAATGTCTAGTCAACCCAACTCCCCACAAAAAGGATGGTAGAGCTACGAACGCCTCAATTAGGCGCCGCTTCTGCGGGCGGCTGGTCCTTTCGTCTTGCTGTTGTACATCGTGTTGGGACCAGTAGTCCGCGGAGGCCGTGCCAAATTGAGGCGTTCGTTCCTCCACCCCAAAAAGGACACATAATGATTTCGTTGAGTGTTTAAGTGACGAAATATAGCCGACCAGGTAAGTTCCAGCAGAAAACACTTCAAAAATGCAAAAAAGAACATCTTCTCGTTACCGAATAAGATGTCATTGCCTTGGCTTGTATTACGGTGAGGTGACTAGACGGATGTCGCACACTATGCTAAGCAAGCTCTGCACATGCAACAATCAAGTTCTTGCATAAATGCAAATCTTCCCAATTCTTATTTTAAATTCACCTACGTTCCAAGAATTCCGAGCATCACCAAAATTCTCAATCTTTCAAAGTTTGGGTACGCCATTTTGTGTCGGTTTTTTCGTCCCATTTGAGACTTGGAATTCCAGCACTTGACAAATTTGCAAAGTCAGGAATAACATGTGCAAATAATTCTAAAACATGGAAATCCAAGTAAGGTAAGGGCCACATGCATTGATATACCTGCCGAGGAGGGGATTGCATTTTAAAAGAAAGCTTCTTATTCTGAAGTTCCAGATATCTGAATTTCACACTGCTACCTATCCGTAAGTATTCCCACCATTCACTACAAACATGTTGAACAAGAGCGAGAAGCTGTACAAGACATTTTCCAGCTTTTTGTATGATTTCCGAATGAGCCCCTGCGGACGACCGTTTTTTCTCCGAAGTCATTTTTCTTTCTTGAGTCAACGCAAACATAGCAAAGTTGTATCGATTACCTAACCCAACAGTGCTAACGATAAGCATGTGGCTGATAAGAACAAGTAATGTTTGGAATCACGAAATTTGCAATGAACCACAAGTTGAAAGCTGGATTTATCGAAAATTCGATCAAAAACTCGTTTCTTTCTAACAGCAACATGCTTAGCACTGCTGGGTTAGACGAACAGTACACCACCGGAAAGTTTTCGTTGACTTCGAAGAAGGAAAAATGATTTTGAAGAAAAGACGATCGGTCGCCGGGATTATCAGGGGATCATACAGAAAGCTGGAAATTGTGGCTTGTATAGCTTGTTCAATATGTTCATAGTGGAAAATGATGAGAACACCTACAGATAGGGCATATACGGCGTGAGATCCAGATATTTGGAGCTTTAGGATATGAAGCTTTTTATGAGCTGTGATCCCCTCCCTGGCGGGAATGTTAATGCATGGGGTTCAAGTTATAACAATGAAGAACGTCTTTTGCATGTAAGATGGGGGCTACACCTCAAAATAATGGCTCATATTCACTAAATCATTTCTTCAACTGTAGGAGATATTGCAAATTGCGACCTTTAGTAAGTGACAGCAACAATAACATTATTGATTGTCAGACACAATCATTCTCCATAGAATCTTTGGTCATGTGATATTTTGAGTTATTGATAAATAATAAATGATTTAAGATATATTTAAATTTTCTTCTACTGTTTTGTCAGTGATTTGGTTTTTAAACTGTGCTAGTGTTTTTGAGTGATTGCCAAAAATAAAAAAAAATAAAATACGTGCTCATGAGAGAATGCGATTATAAATCTACAATGCTTAAAGATAATTTTTACACTTCAAAAAATCGTTACTTATTGTTAGTAAAAAATAGACGATCATTAATATAATTTGTTCCTGCCCTTTTAGCTTGTTCTATTAGTGATAAAAATTTCGCCATTTGAAAAAGGTCGTGAAAATTTTGAGACGATTACAGAAAACTGGAAAAAGAAACACTAACTGCTTAGCAAAGGTGCCCCGCAATGCAGTAGTGGAGTGCATCTACAGTAGAGCATATGCCACTGGCTTGACGTACCAGAGGTCGTGCTATCATCGATGACGCACTGCACCAATTACGATCCCATCAAATGAATAGGGAGTGTTAGCACTTCTTTTGTTATATTTGACAATTCTGCGGCAGTTCTCCTGTATAAAAGCGCCTAAGGAACATGTGAACCCCATTCGAAATGTGGCTCTACTGTTGCTTATTCACTGTAGGTTGCCTTATTCAAGGTATGATAATCAATGATTGCTGTTCAGCTTACTCTTGCACACTCCGAAACCTATAGATGCGGAGAATTCGGCCAGCTCACGTATGATAAATCTTGGGATCAGGATCTCAAGCTCGCATTCCAACAAAAATGCGGAGTACAAAATGCAACGGATCTGGTGAGAATTTGATCAAAACTTTAAGTCTTAAGAAAAAAACCGTTGCGTATCGATGTCCTCTAGAATAATCAGATCAAAAAAGTAGCCCATAACTGTATCGTTTGCTATATTAATGGTTTTTCAAAACAAATTTCATCACAAGCAAGAGATTTATCCGTTTAGAAGTACAGCATAAAATGGGAATGTGAGCTCCTCAGGTATGGAAGAGAGGATTGGAAACAGAGTAGTAAAGTAGAGTCGGCGTACTATAATGGGTAGAGTTAAAGTAGCTTTTAGCGTGCTTCAATCATCAATGCATGAATAAATTTCAGCGCTTATAAAACAGAAGCTGGGAAGAATGCGTACGGTCAAATAGTCAAACTCAAATCTAACTGGGATCCCGATCTTTGCAACGTAAGTTACAAACAGTCACATAACACCTTCTTCGCAGCTAAAAAGCATGCGAAAGTGGGGTCTACATGGGTGGCGATTTTATCTCACCATCCCATCATCTTGGTTGTCTTGTGTCAGGTAGTCTCTATTTATTTTCTATAAACATTGAGGCTGTCCAATAGGGCAAAGCAATGGATATAAGATAGCGACCAAAATTTATACAAAACTTGATGCAGTAAAGTTTGAATAAAATTAAAACTTATAAAAAAATCGCATTTGTCATGCACATTTAACGAAACTCCAAAATGACTACACGTGCTGTACTTTCTTTGGCTAGAAATTGAAAGAAAAAGAAGTCAAAATACGAAAATGACGTTTTTTGCGGGGACTTTTTAAGATAACTTTCAGCATCTTTTGAAAAAGTAGCGCTTACGAAGGTAAAAACTCATAATTTTGCTCTTCAGAAATACGGGTTTTTTTTTAAAAACTTCCAAATTTTTATTTTAAACATGTACTAAAAATTGTGCGAATGCTTTTGTTTTGCTTCATTGAATAAAAAAATTTTGAAAAATAAATGAACATAAGCTTTTGCTTGACGGATAAAAACTATAGGGCAATCTAGCGCTAGCGAAAAGGTTCGAAAGGTATTATCATAAGTCATTCAACCTATCTAAATGACTGCAGTGCTTTTTCTACTTTAACTCATAGAAGATCATATCAAAAACCCATCAATAATCTTATCTTATATATAAAGCTGAATGTCTGTTTGTCTGTATGTCTGTCTGTCTGTATGTATGTGTGTACGTATGTTCCGAATAGAAAATTCCATTTCTGAACCGATCGGGACCAAACTTGGCACACATACACTTCGGGCCCCGGCGGGTGTCATAGGCTACTTTTCGTCATCGATCGATATCGATTTTATCGATTTTTATCGATTTTTTTGCTGAGTTCACCTACGAGGCTGGGAGTTGGCACAGGGGGGTAATCGAGCATGGGGATTCCGAATACAATATTGGTTTTCAGGATTATCGATTACTTTTATCGATTTTATCGATTTTTTTGCAAAGTTTGAGCTACGGGGCCGGGAGTTGGCACAGGGGGGTAATCGAGCATGGTGATTCCGAATACAATATTGGTTTTCAGGATTATCGATTACTTTTATCGATTTTATCGATTTTTTGCAAAGTTTGAGCTACGGGGCTGGGAGTTCGCACAGGGGGGTAATCGAGCATGGGGATTCCGAATACAATATTGGTTTTCGGGATTATCGATTACTTTTATCGATTTTATCGATTTTTTTGCAAAGTTTGAGCTAGGGGGCTGGGAGTTGGCACAGGGGGGTAATCGAGCATGCTGATCATCCCCAAGGGGGGTGATCAGCATGCTCGAACACCCCTGTGCCAAATTCCAGCCCCCTAGCTCAAATTTTCAAAAAATCGATAAAATCGATAAAAGTAATGGACGATCTTGAAAACTAATATTGTATTCGTAATCTGCATGCTCGATTACCCTCTGTGCAAACTCCCAGCCCCGCAGGTCAAACTTTGCAAAAAAATCGATAAAATCGATAAAAGTAATGGACGATCCTGAAAACTAATATTGTGTTCGTGATCAGCATGCTCGATTACCCCCCTGTGCAAAATCCCAGCCTCGCATGTCAAAATTTACAAAAAATCGATAAAATCAATAAAAGCAATCGATAATTCTGAAAACTAATATTGTATTCGGAATCCCCATGCTCGCTTCCCCCCTGTGCCAACTCCTAGCCCTGTAGGTGAACTCTGCCAAAAAATCGATAAAAATCGGTAAAATCGACATCGATCGATAACGAAAAGTGGACTGTGACACCCGCCGGGGCCCGAAGTGTATGTGTGCCAAGTTTGGTCCGGATACGGCGGAGCCGGGTAAGCCAGCTAGTAAGGTAATAAAGTTGGATGTTCTGCCTTGGGTTATGTTGCTATATGTAAGAAAGCAAAACACGTCTGCTGTTATGACGCCACAGCATGGTGTAATATCAACAGTCAACACTTGTAAAACAACCCATTTGTTTATCAAATGCCCGCGTTGTACATTATCATGTCAAAGTCTTAATTTGTTGGTAATTGGTGGAGGAACTGTTTACGAGTAAGTGCAACGCCCAGTTTCTTTCAGACCCTCTATACATATAAAAACGCTATCCAGCATGCATGTATACCACTCGCGCAAATCCCCGAATTCATCATTTGCTAGAAATTACCAATTGCATTCTTTTTCAAACGAAGCCAATAATAATTTTGCAGGCAGCCAAAAAGTATACAGAGTACGCTTGCAAACATTTCCAAGCAAACTGGTATTGGTGGGACGCTGGATTCAAGTTCGGATGCGTTTTCTGGAGTGGAGGCCCCGAGACTTATGTCAAGCGCAAGTGAAAAGCTCTTCAAAGTAAACCTTTGAAATGTTGAACTTAGTTGAACTTCACGACGTTTTTGCGCAAAAATGAGAAACGAAACCTTGTCAAAGATTATTATCTAGGAAACATGTTGTAAAACTATGAAGTTCTACTCTGAAAACAAAAAACCATGATATTGAAAAGTTCGAGTAGTATGGTGACATTACCAGTTAATGTAATTATATCTCGTCCTATCGAGCTTCGTCGCGTCTCAGAAAAGCTCAAAGCCTGGAAGACCCTGCACCCTCTGTGAAACTTGCTTTTCGCACCTTAAATTGAGCTTGGTGCGCGCGGAAACTCGGCCGCTTGGGCAAGGCGACATCGCACGATGAGTCTACACAGTACCTGTACTTACGTTTGAGCAATAATGTGCGAGTTGATACAATGCGGTCAAACAATCGAGCTTCGTTTTCTCTTTGCAGAACGGATAAAGTTTCATTTACTTTACGTGATATTTTCCCGCGTTTAAAAACTTATGTATACGTTCTCTCAGTTCCCGAGCAGAATCCGTCCTGAGCTAGCACCTAAAACTTAGAAAACAAAATTTCCTTGAAGTCGCAAAATTGCTAGAAGGTTTTCTCCCGCAATCGCGAAAACTGTAACTGCAGTGGCCGGATCCCTACAAAACGATTTTGGCTTTTCTGACAATATTTTATGTTCTGCTGAAATTGTAAGTTCTACTTTGATTCGGCTACAGAAAAATGGGCATGGACCCCGCAAGACCCATCGAATTTTACCCAGATGAGTTCGCATGGGAACGAAAACGGCGCTCTCAAAACTTCTTCCTCTACATGTGTTTTAATTTCCAAGCTTTGGTTTCACAAATTTCATGTTGTGAGCAGGGACAATCTATTTTTAAAACTTTGAGCTGCTCTTTCAAGATTGATAGAGAGAATAAGGAGTTAATGCGTTTTTTTACAAAGACATGATAGGGGCAGAAAAGTAGCCATAGGCTACAAGAAAGTTAGATTTGGACAGAATGGAGAATCCCATGATGTTGCCATGCACTGCCGACAAGTAGCCAAAAGCAGGATGTGCCACCATTTTCTGTAAAATCACACAAATTTCTATGTGAAGCCAATAAATGACATCTTGTATGAATTATTTCTAAGGATTCTTTCTAGACGCTGTTCAAGCAACTGTGCGCGATCGTTCGAAATAAATGCTCAAAACCAACAAAATGAAACGAATTATGCAGTGGTAAAAGCGCGTTCCTTAGCATCCGTTGGCAATCATTTTTCCCTTGTCGACACCTTTCATGAAAAAATAGAACCAAAAGAGAATTACCTCTCACTTCTTGGAGCATGCTTTTTTGCTCCAATTTTGTTGCGGTGCAGATTTGTGCAAAATAATTGGATATCAACGTTAACATGATGAAATCGCATGTTGCAATATATTGAACTTTACTTGATGGAAGAATTGCTTAGACCTGTCCTGGCTTATACAAAAGCAAAATACTGAATTACTTAGCTGATTACTGACTGCTGCAAATCAGTAACTCGTTTGACATTATTACTTCAAAGCTTTTGAAAGATACGGTAAATTTAATTTCTGAACTAAACTTCGACACTCATTCACTGCGTTTAATGCTACAGAAGCCTCTATTGCGTCTCAGCAAGCGAGCAAATGCGGAAGAAGTGTTCACTAACGAACACGAATTCCATAGTCTGGAAAGCAAATGCGTTTTTAGTTAAAACGACCGCTTGCCCTATCAAAACCTTAGAATTTTAGAAGACAAGGCGTAGTTAAAAATAGTCTGTCTAAAACGGTTGACATGAGAAAGGAACTTCATAAATTCTGAAAGAGCGAGAGTGATTAAGCAATTATTATCAAGATCACATCTCTGGCCTTCATGATGTAACAATCGACATAGTTCCTTCATTTATTAATGTCGCCTATCAAGATCAAGTTTCACCACTTCAATCAAGATTTTTTTTCGTGGCCAGTTCTCGGCACAGCTGGCACCTGGCCGGGTTGAATATCGCTTTTAGGACAAAAAGCAAAAAGGATGTCGTTTTTGTGGCCGAAAATACACAATTGCGACGTTTTTCTAGTCGAAGTTTCGTCTTTTGGGATTTTTTACGTTTAGGGTCTAAGGTCAAAGGGGATTTGTACGAAATTTTCAATATCAAAGGAGATTTTGTTCAAAGTTTCTTGGTGCCAGCTCGTGATCGTAGCTTCTTCTAACGTATCACTTTCGATCACATAAATCCCGTACTTCTAAGCTTGAAAACTTCATTTCTTATTAATTCAAATAGTTTATTTAAGCGTACATACCTTGTCTCGCTTGCTAAATGCGTTCAACTGCCAGCCCACCGAACTTTTCGCTGGAATCGTCAACTCCCACTGTATTAAGCAGGCACCGCATATTGCAAACCTGCTCTGGATGTTATCAATCTTGTCGTCCTTCGACCGCGACCCTGATATGAATTCAACTCGTATTCGCGTACATTTTGGTACTTAAAGAAGCAAGAAGTTATTAGGGTGTTCAATCAACATTATTTGTAGTAAATCATGTTTTCAAAAACCAGAATGTCTGCTTATTAGCAGGCACTATTGCCTCACAAGTGCCTAGTGTGCAGCTTTTCCAGTTTCCTAGTGTGCAGCTTTTCCATATTTTGACTTTTTTCAATATTTACAAAATATCTGAAGGTCTGAATGTTTTGAATCTAGTTTAGCAAAATTGATCCGATTCAAAAAAAAGTCCTGAATTACTGATCTTATTAGCTCTTTTGATGCAGCAAAAAAAACCATCACAATGTAGCTTACGTTTGAAGCAGAGTGTAAGCCCAATTATTTCTTTGCAGCTCAAGGAAGCATATTGAATTTGAAATTAGTAAAATTCTCAAAATTTGTTTTAGTTATGGTCGAGTGGTACACTTCCAAATCAACAGTTCAAGCAAGTGTCAGTAGCTATCAGTTGGCATACACCACACGCACTGGGCCCACTCAAAAGTCAAAATTTAAAAAAAAGGACTTTTTCCATCAGTTTTATTAGGTTGTCCAGAAATTAATGCCCGTTTTGAATTTCAACCGCAATAAGTCATACACCTCTCATTTCAATAGGATGCAGAGTACCATTCAATACAGTAATGCAAGCTCTACAAGATGGCCATCTTGCTTTTGCAATAGCTCTCGTCCACATCGAGTTTCGAGCCAAAAACTAAAAAGACTCAACAGCCCGAAAAATCGAAAAAAATCGTAACTCTTTTCACAAAAATCCTTCAAAAATTCTTACTTGCTCACGTAAACACTATCCACATGAAACATCTATATACGCCGCCGCATTTTTTTCTCTGTTAGAAACCAAGAAAACGGAAATTTTCGCGCATTTGCCAAAGTGATGCTGTGCCGTCCCCACATAGTTAGTTGTATACCACAAGCCTGTAGAAGTACAGACTTAAATTTTCAGCTCTCTGCAAGCTATAGTTCTCGAGAAATACCGAATATAGCTTTCCTTAGTTAGGTGGTCTAAGCTAAAATTCAAATTTCTTGTGAACTAAAACTTATAGAGAGCTGAGGATATACGTTTGTACTTCTACAGGTTTGTACTATACAACTATTAATGTGGGGACGGCACAACACGACTTTGGCAAATGCACGAAAATTTCCGTTTTGCTGATTTCTAACAAGGGAAAAAATACGGCAAAGGCGTATATAGATGTTTTATGTGGATAGTGTTTACGTGAGAAAGTAAGAATTTTTGTAGGGTTTTTCTGAACTGAGTTACAATTTTTTTCGATTTTTCGGGCTGCTGAGTCTTTTTAGTTTTTCTTGAAACTCGAGGTGGATGAGAGCTATTGCAAAAGCAAAATGGCCTTTTTGTAGAGCTTGCTTTACTCTATCGAATGGTACTCTGCATCCTATTTATAAGTGAGAGGTGTATGACTTATTGTGATTGAAATTCAAAACGGGCATTAACTTCGGGACAACCTAATAGTAAAGCGGAATCACAAGTTGGCATATACACATAAGCGTAATCAAAACACTTCGGATAACTAAGCTAGGAGGGAATATTGACTTGACCATTCATTCCCGCCATCTTAGCTGCAATATATTATAGGTCAAGGTTATCTCACCCAAACTGAAAAATGCGTTTAACAACCACGATCCTCATAAGGAAAGCTTGTTTAGTGAAGTGGTTTTCAATGGGATGTATACATTATTGAAGATCATAAGACGTGATTCCAAAACTGCCTTCCTTATCTGCAGAGCGTTTATATACGAGGAGTTACGAGCGTTTTTTGGCGCGAAAGATTGAATGTGCATTTCTGGTAAAATGAGCTGCTAAATTCTTACTAGCCGCAACCAAGTGTGACATTTTTTATTTTTATGATATGATTTGAATAAAGTGCTCTGATGATTATTACTGCTCCATTGAAGAGCTTGAAAAAGTATTACAGCTATTTTTGCCCTGCTTGCAATTGCATTCAATTCTTTACTCTAGTAAGCGCCCATAACTCCTCGCCCATAATCGTTTTGCAAATAAGGAAAGCAGATTTTGAATCAGCATTTTATGCCCTTCAGTATGGTGTACATCCCGTCTAAAAAGGCCATTTCGATTAAACATGCATTCCTTATTAGTTGTTAAAAGAAAGTACCCCCTAAAGCGTTGTCTCCAAAAAATGTACCAAATGTCTGATTATTAGAAAATTTCTCGGCTGGTTTATGCTCAAATTTGCAGCATAGAACAATTCATTTTTAATCGATAATATAAGATACAGAAGAGAATTTTGCATGATAATGCCACGATGGAAAACAATTGCAAAATCTAAAGAATGAGCTTTTTTAAATGCTCTGTTTACACGACTGATTCTGTGCAACTTCACGAAACTTTTAAAGGCAGTGTCCGGGCAAAAACTCGATTTTGAGATTTTGTGCTTACTTGGGCCTATTCGCTACGCTGAATCCGAAAATGCGCATTGTAGAGCGCGAAAATGACGAAAAACGGCTCTAACACAGGAGGGAAATGAGCAGGTG